AGGCCTTCTCTATATACAGAGTGTTTTTCATTTGGGTGGCATGTTTGGGCAAGCAACGGCGAATTTTTGAACCCACCTGGTCGTTAAGAGGCAACTTGAACAAAAACTGTTTGCGTCATTGGGAAGACACAAGTGTGGGCTTTTCACCGGAAAAAACTGGGGCATTCGAGTAGGCTCGAAACAAGCGAAAGCGCCTGACGCAACCGAAACTGATTAATAGTCCAGGCCTGCTAATGTTTTATTCTTCGGGGGTCTTTGCGGCCAGCTTGACAAATGGAACAGCTCTGACTGGCCGATTCCGTTCGGCCCAGCGATGAATGGCCGCCCGCCAATGGAAACAATGGAATCAACCGATGGATAAACTTCCATCCAGACTGACCTGCTTGTTGTTCTAATTTTCCTCGCCGTCTACTTTGGCTGACGGAAGCAAATTGGGGATGGAGAGCAAGAAAAACATGCACATTTTCCAACTTTCCCGGCCGATTTTCAGTGGGGCGAAGCCGGAAAGTCTTGCCGGGGATTATTGCGCGACGAAGTTTCTAAACGGGAGCGCAATCCACGTCTTAGAGTGAATTTAGCCGGAGTCTGGATGGGCGCACTTATTCGCCTCTCTTGGGAGTTGGCCAACTTAAATCCACTACATCAGGGCATTACACTCGACAGCCCGCAGGAAAACACTGTCGTTTCCATTTCCCGATGAAAAATGGTTTGTCGAGATCCAGCTGGCTGGTTTTTCACGCGACAAAGCCCGGTTTTATCGTTCCAAGCGTTGTCCCAACAAGCGTTTTTCCAGTTGCCACTTTGTGCAAAAGTGCCTTAAAAAATTCACCAGTCATCGACTGAAGTCGCCAGCCAACTGCAACTTCCCCGCTTAATAGGGCAGGCTTTAGACTGTCCAGCCAAGGAAAATTGGCAACCACGCCGGGCCTACGCTGCCAAAACCAGCCGGTATAAATAGTGGTTGATGCTTGCAGCAAGTGGCCACTTGCTGACAAGGTGATTTCAAAAATTTGCCCTGACTGGCCCAAGGATGCCACCTAAGCCACAAACACCCTGTATATAACGACAATAACGCGCGTTAACAGTGCAAGAAAATCTAGTCATTTGCTGCTGGCAGTTGTCCGGCAGGAGCTCTTGAAAACGAGTGAAGAAGATTTTTGCGATGCGCCATTTCGCGCAAGAGTGACTTTAAAAATTCACTAGCCACTAAGCGAAGCTCAAAAACAACTGAATTTTTTTCACGGTTTAGAGAGTGCCTTGGGCGTTTGAGAACAGAAACACTTGAGCCCAGCCCGGGCCTACGTTGCCAAACCGCGGCCGATATACATGGGCATTGATGATTATGGCCAGTTGCCTCTTAACGGCCTGATGGTTTAAAAAATTCGCCGAAACTTTCCAGACGACGCCCCTCAAATGAAAAACACTCTGTATATAGAGCAACTGTCGCTTGATCAAAGAGTGGTAATTGCAGGAAATGGGCGTGGTCCAGTTGTTTGAGAGGAGGCCTTGAAAATGAGCCATCAGGATTTTTCCCACTTGCCACTTTAGGCAAGAGTGAATTCAA